TTCTGTATGCACAAATAAATAAATCTTTAAAAAAAAAAAAAAGAATACTATTACAGGATCCTCCCTACTGGCACAGTGGGTTAATGCACAGCACTAAGAAGCTAAAGCCACTTCAACATGAGTTCGATCCCCACTCCAGAGGTGACCCACAGGGCGCCGCAGACCTCTCCTGACCTGCCCACTGCTCCCCTCAGCAGTGTATTTCATCAGTCAGCCTATTCTGCTCCCCACTTCTGTTTCTGGTGAATCTTCTTACTGCCCTTGCCCCTCTGGCCTGTACCCCAGTTCTGTATGCATAAGTATATAATTCTTTAAAAAAAAAAATACTATTAGGTAGTATTCAATTTTACTAAACTATGCATGTATTTTAAGCACAATTAAATATAACTCTTCCCATTTTTCATTTCTCACACCACAAATCAACAGATGAAGTCAATTCAACTCTAGAGAAAACTAATCCACTTCAATCATGATCAAAAATAAAAGGGAACTCCAGTCCAGAATCAGTGAGAGTGACAGGACATACCAATACCAGCTAGCCAAAGTAGAAAGACAGTAATTATAGAATTGAAATTACTTCCTGCAGAAAGATCTTAAAGTTGTAACACAACGGTGTGAGTTGTTTCTGGTTAAGGAAATCTCCTTAACCAGGCAGCTATTATAAAACTGATGTGCAGATCAAAGTAATAAAAAGACTGAGCCCTGCATGTCAGCTCAGAAAAGTTTTCATTCGGCCTACTGAGCACAAGTCAATGTTACATGAAAGGGTACAGACTGATGAGACCCAGCTCTGCCATCAGAGAACTCGGCCACTGGAGGTAACAGACACATATACAATTAAAAGGTTGCATGATAGATTCAGAGAACCGTTTTCCCCTACAAAGGAAGAGCTGAGCTGCTGAAAATCCAAGAATTTCATCCTACAAGTGACTGGCATGACTAGAAAGAATAGGATCCTGTATACTGAAACAGGGATTTATGAATACAGCCTGATGAAGCTGAGGCTACTGAATCCCAAAATCCTAGTGAGTCTTTTTGCCAGTATAAATATCCACTCCACCCTGTCCCTGCTTTGGCTGAGAAATCCATAATCACTTCCCCTGAGTTAGCTACCTTGCAAGACACAGCTAATTCTTCACAAGACCCATTCCCACGACCCTCTTCACTTCTAGACCTCTAATAAGACTCAAGTCCCAGTAGGTCCTAAAGGAGAATCATAAAGTATGAACCATGAAGAGGTGTACTACACTCCCCAAAACCATGATTTTTTAAGATTTATATAGACTGAAGCTTATATATGTATGAGAACGGCAGGGTGTAGGATAACAGTGAAAAGAACACAGTTGAATCAAGCTGAATTTATTGTTATAGGCCCACTGAGCTGTACTCATGGATTTAATGCTGCAACTCATGAGATTAAAATAAAACCTCTAACAGTCTAGCTAGTTGACTAGCTAGCTGAAAAATGGACAAAGGTAGCCTATACTAATGAAGAGAGAGCTCCAGCAAACTTAGGGAGATTGTAACAACAAAAGCAGCTTTACCAAGAAAGACCTGCTCACTCACCCTGGGAAAATTCAGAGGGACTATCATTCACCACTAGTATGAGGGCAAATTTATGAGGGATGTCACAGCATCCTCATAGAGCTTGTAGTAACTCTTCTGTGGAGGCCAGAAATTACAATAGGAAATGCTGCCACTGCAGTGGAAATAAGGATCCTGGGGCAGCAAGCACAGAGAGGTGAAACTTAACCTCCAATGACAAGGGGAACACAGTTGCCATAATAGACAGCAGAGCAAAGCAGTAATCAGAAGAGTCAGACTCAAAGAAGCCTAGAGCAGTGATGGTGTCAGAGGAGGGAAACAGAGAGGCACTCATTAAATTTTAGACTGAGAGGCCAAATGTCTAAATCAGAACAGAATCACAGCATGTGCTGGTGGTATAGTGGTGAGCACAGATGCCTTCCAAAACAGAATCATGATCTCTCAATCAATTCTCAGATTTGAATTATTTATAGACCCCAAAATTTCCTGAACACAAGGTGGGCTGAGTTCCTTGAGGAAGAGCTCTATTACACTGCCAAAACCTTATACTGCTAATCATCACAACACCTTCTGCCAAAGGGTGTTTACCAAGGTGACTACACTGAGAAAAAGGAAGTAGTCAAGCTTTTGGAGAATTGTTGACCTGGTCTGTCACGAATTCCAGAAGCCCCAATACCCAAAAGTTACTGTGGCCTACCAGTCAGAATAGGGGCTTGTAAAGTTCAAGTTAGCAACAGAGTTTCCACTCTGGTCCAAGGTTCAATGGGTCCCCAAATCCATTCTATGATCATTCCTGCTTCTAGAATGTATCACTGAAATAGACATACTCAAGAAATGGCAGAATCCCAACATTAGTTCCCTGACCTGTGCAGTGAAGGCTACTGGAGTAGTTGTAACCTAAACCACTAGTTTGTAACATTTTGTTATGACGGCCTGAAAGAACTCAAACTAACAAGACAGGATTTCATCTGAAGGGTAGTAGAAGTCCCGAAAAGGGCTCAGTAGGAGAATATATCTGCTTCATGCATTAAGTCAAATTATGATTTAACAAAGAACACTCACTAGAATATGAACAATGTTCTAGAAGTAGGAACAAAGATAAAGCATAATCTAGGTAAAAGAGAATCTGGTTCTGTACTCTCTAACAGTTGAAGGGAAAAAGAAAAAAAAAAGTGAGCAAAATCAAGAGAAAGGTATGCATGTTAATACAGATAACATGAAAAGATGGTAAGAATTCTTTCCACCTTCCACTCCCAATTCACTGTATAAATCCACATACCATCTAGCTTTTTTTCTGCTTTAAGTAAGTTAAAACGTCTGTATTACTAAAATTTATGGAAGAATGTGACAAGATGCAATCTACCAAAGCAGTATTTTGTAAAATGCAAAAGTCACTTAGTAATATAAATTGGTCATCAATTATAACCATCTTGTCTAGTAAATTTTACTACAACAGTTTTCTGCTAACATCTATGATAAGCCATCTTTTCCTCTGGTTATTTGTAATCATCCCCATTTAAGTTATTATCTCACCTAAAGTCCGTAAAAGCAAAGTTGTTGCTCCCTCCTCTTTCTGTCCCCATGTCTCACAAATAAAGCCCAAAATAAAAACTGGCTTAACAATGGCCTGGTATTATAGTTGTGGTCTACAAAACTGCAAAACTGTCAATAAAATGCATTTACCTGTATAGCCCATAAACTTCCCAGGGATTTCTTGATTACAGCAACGACTGCAGAAAATCTGCCCACACAGCCGACAATGGTGTCTGCGCCTAAAGGTGGTAAATTTCTCACTACAGTCATAGCACTCTTTGCACTGACTATCTGGCATCCAATATTGCTTCAGGTCACTATCCTGCAACAATAAAAATGTGTGAAGACTTCTTGAAAATACAGATTACTAACATGCCATGGAAATTTCAGTGTTCATCAAAATCCCAGCTTCTTTTGCAGAAGTGACAAACTATTTTTAAAACTCATGTGGGAATGAAAAGGGTCAAAATAGCCAAGAAAATCTTGAAGAAAAAAGTTAAAGGATTAGCATTACCAGCCATCCAGATCTATTCTAAAAATACAATAATTTTAGATAGAGTATTATCAGAGAAGGAACAAAATAAATTGAGAGAGAAAGCCCACTCACACTATGGAACAGAAAAGGATCCAAGCACACATATATAGATTTATGTCAAGATTTACTAGTGCTGGGTCCAACTGGAGAGCCATAAGAAAAAAATGAAGCTTGACTCCATATTTTACACAAATAATAAAGCTTCTTCCTGAAATCATGAAAGAATATTTATGGACAATGAGCTAAATAAACACACCTCAAATAGAATACAAAAAGTACTAACTGTAAAGGAAGGGAAATGACAAATTAAAATTAAGAACATACTCTGTAGAACTATTAAGGTCCTAGCTGAGTTAGTACCAACTGAACTTTCGTTCAATTGGCAAGATGCCATTTCCAGTGAGTACAGCATGAAACCCATATAAAGGCTTAATAAGTAATCTCCTAACCCTCTAAGCAGTACCTGGCTTTTCCCCTCCATGATTTCCTTGAGACGTTTTAATACTGTGCTGAGGCTTCGAAGCTGAACAGCTGTACGAGGGTCATGACTTCCAAAAGTAGGTTCTGCTTTCCTTCTTGTGTCTGTGGCAGATTTGCAAACAAATAAATGACAAATTAAAAAAACCATGGTAACAGTCTCCAGGACCTATGCACAAAGAAAATATGTGGTACATGGTGCCTAACTACTATTAGCATACACTTTTGTTCTTGCAGTCAGTTACATAGATGAAGAATTAAAGCCTGTCCTTACAAGGATAGAAACTATTGAAAGTTCTTCTTACTATGTAAAACATTCTTTCACTGGCACATAAGAGCTACATAAGTCAAGAATTGTCTTAGACCATTTGTGGTTTTGATGCCTGGGATGATGAAATGGCCCAAAGTCATTCATAATTTTTTAAGCCTTTGGGCCCCAACCTATAAAAAATACCTGTCAGAAATTTAGTAGAAAAATTAACCCAGGTTAACCTAGCTCAGTCTCAACAGTGAGAGAGTAAGTTTAGTCTACACATCAGGTACATACAGTCCTGTGAAGCAGATCATGAGAATGGAGTTTAACAGCCCAGAATCCAGAGTGTGACAAACTTCAGAATATCCAGGATGATCATTTTTCAGTGACTTTCCTCCACCCAATGTCTAAGGGATTAAAACTGCCCCAAAATCACTAGAACCCCACCCCCTGCAGTTCCAGACTTAAACACGAAATAACAATATAGAAGCCAGTCGTAGCAGTAACAAAAGAAGCTCAAATTCCAAATTTGGGGGCCAGAATGAGGTACGCCCACCAAAACTGTCATATACTTACTTTACATCTGTAGTTTCTACCTATTCCTGGCTACAACAAAAGGATAAACATTCCTTAAATAAACTCACTACTTAGTAACTCTGTGACAAAGCAAGATATAAAACAAACCCCCCTACATCTTTCCCAATTCACCTATTTGCTAAATTTGTTTTAGGTGTTCTTTATTTTGGTTAGATGGAAAAGAATGGGCTGCAAAGAAATGACTCGTTGATATCTAAACTAAATAACTTCCAAGATAGCTATGGTAATAATTCCTAAACTGCCTTAGTTGGAAAACTGGTAATTTAAACTATCCATAATATCATTGGATATCTCAGCTATGTCTTACTAAACATAAGTATTAGAAAACCAAATTTCTCTTGAGTCTCACAATATTAAGTAACTCCCTTGATGTCTGAGTTGAAGAAGACAAACCTGTTAGGATCAATGGCTATATTCCCATGCATGAACAACAATTAACTGTGAACCCCTCTGCATTTTAGTCCTTAGGAGCATAAGTTCTAAGGAAACCACTCCTTATAAATGCAGTGAGACTTCCTAGAACAAACATAACTTCATCCAGGTCCTGGATGAAGATGTAAGAAATGTGAGAGAAAATCTGGTATAGCACCCTGCCCCTAGGCAAATAACTGCTTTTTGAAAATGGATGTTAAAGCATTTAAGGATTTTCCAAAGGTCACAGAGCTAGAAAAAGGAATGGATGGGTCAAACAGTCCCAGGCTTCTGAAGCCCAAATGTCCCCAGTAGCTAAGTTAAAATCAAAGAATCAGGTAGATGTGGGCCCTCCCTGGTGGCGCAGTGGGTTAAAGCACAGCACTAAAAAGCTTAAGCCACTTCCGCATGAGTTCGATTCCCGCCTGTCCCAGAGGTGACCACATGGCGTGGCAGACCTCTCCTGACCCGCCCGCTGCTCCCCTCAGCAGTGTACTTGGTTGATCTGCCTGTTCTGCTCCCCACTCTGTCTCTAGTGAATCCTCTCACCCTCCGCACCTCTGGCCGGTACCCCAGTTCTATATGAATAAATAAATAAATCTTTAAAAAATCAGGTAGTTGTGACCAAAAAAAAAAAAAAGAAAAAGAAAAGCATGACAACAGGAATAGCGGGGACTACAGCAAACCAAACCAGACATTACAAGCTCCCTCCAGTGACTCTGAAATTCCACGTTTATCCAAGGCAAAGTTTGGCAATCCCGAAAAGATCCAACTCCTCAATTTTACAAATGAAAAATTCTATGCCTAATTCACAGGACTAGCTCTTCTTTATCAGAAGAGCTCCCTAGAGAGAAACAGGAGTATTGCAACAGGTCAGGTTCAAGAGCTAAATGTTGATTAAGGTTAAAGCTTGAAGTGGGGATAGACTAGCCCTTCCAAACATTTATAGTAAAAACAAACCTCTCCCCTTTACCCCGCCCCACCTTCTGATTGTTCTAAATGGCTGAGGCTCCCTGATCTAGGAGTCTGCAGAGGAGATACAGCCAGTTCTGCTCAAGTCTATGAGAGAAATTCTTCTGCTTAGTCTCTCCCCCTCCTTCTGACCTATCAGAGGGAGACTGAGTCAAGTCTCAACTAGCAATAAAATATCCTTCTACCAGTTGCCATCACCTGTACCTGTCTATTTTTTCACTTAAGGATCTCACAGGGAAGACTGACCAGACAAATGGGAGCTGATCTCCAGTACTGCACCTGCCCCTCTATGCTGCCACCACTCACTGCCTTTCTTCTATCATGCTAAACTGGCAAGACACTGCAGAGTTTATTAATGTAACAAATAAAACATTAAATAACTCACTTTCTCTAATTTCTGAAGGTGCTGATCCCCAGCCTAACTCATCAAAAAAAACATGAAAATGAAGGAAATGGCTATGTAGTCGATCAGGATGGAGAGCAAACCGGCAAGAGGAGCTCAGCTTATCCAGCCACAGCAACAGTTTGTGTCCCAACAAGGACAGAAAGCGAAGAGCAATTGGCAGCCCACTAATGGAGTTGTGAGAGCACGCAGCCAGACCCAGGCAGGCACATGACACACTCGCCATAGCAAAAAACAGAAGCAGAATCCATTCACAGAGCTGAAACTAACCTGTGGTCTCCTGGGGATGCTGCAAACTGCTGTCTGTTGAAACCCAAGTAAGTAATTAATCAGTCAAGATGTGTCTGCCTTGCCTAAATTAAAGCTTAACACGGATTATTTTAAGTATTTTTATTAGGCATCAACACATTCTTTCACTACCTAAAAGGAAACAGCTCACTCCTGAAGGGTAACTTAACCATTACAAATAGCATAAAAGTTAAGTCAATAAACCAGGGAAACACAATTACTACGGAAAAAATCTACTACACAGAGAAGGCTGAAATAGCAACACTCTTTTACCTAATACTGCTGAAGTTCGCCGCTGGAGTTCCTCATTAAGCTGTTTTTTGTAAGGTGTAGGCGACCTCACAGATTGCGTCCGGGAAGGGAGCTGCGGGCTGGTCCAACTTCCACTCACAGACTGCTGTTCTCCCTGGCCACCTTCTGCTCTCTCTGCAGCAAAAGAAAGCTTACAATGTTTGAAATACTAATACTCAGAGTTTAGCAAAGAAAAAAAAAAAAGATTAAATTTTTCAGAAAAGCATGCTTACACCTATCACATGCATAGTTTAAAATAAGTGTTTGGGTTTTTTTTTTAATACAAAGAAAGTGGCAAAATTACAGGCCAATAAGCACACCCATGATGTATGTGATACTCAGTTTGCTTTACTGTTCCTCAGAAATATCTGAGCGTATAAAAAGAAAAAGAATGTAAAATTGACATGAAGGCAGATTGGAGAGTTTTTAAATTTGTTTTGGTTATGGGGTGAATCTTTTGCAGTGGCAATCCCAGTCAACATGCGTGTTCAATATAGCATTTACTATATAAACAATTGCTATATAAACTGTCTTATGACAACTAAACACAGTGTGATATCCCAGAACAGAAAAACAAATTAAGTGAAAACCTGAAGAAACATGAATAAAATGCAAACTAAATAATAATGTATCAATAATAGTTTCCTATTTGCAATAAATGTACCATATGAACTTAAAGTGTTGATAACAGGGTAAGTGGATGTGGGAGTTTATGAAAACTCTGTATGATATTCCCAATTTTCCTATAAATCTAATATTATTCTAAACAATAAGGTTCTTTAAGAAAACAAATCAATGTTTTAAAAATCAGTAGTTTTTTTAGGCATTTTTAAACACGACCACTAATAAAAGTCAGTTAATACTATTAAATTTTCTACTGAGGGTGCTCCCTGGTGGCTCTAGAGGTTAAGTCCCAGTACTATGAAGCTATTGGCTGCCACTGCAACATAAGTTTGATCCCAGCCAGGGAGCTGACCCACATGGCACAGCAGACCTCTCCTGTCTGACCTGCTGCTCTCCTCAGCAGTGTATTTCAGTAGATCCACCTGTTCTATTCCCTATTCTATTTCTGGTGAACCCTCGTACCCTCGCCCCACTTACCTCCCACCCCCTGGCCCCCGTACCTCTGGCCCTCAGCTCTTGTATGCATAAATAAATTAAATTAAAATCTTTAAAACAAATTAAATTTTCTGCTGAGTTAATTAAAACTAATAGCTCAGCTAGGATACCCATTATATTTAATTATCATAAGACAGTAGTTTATATAGCACTTACTGCCTATTGGGATATCTACTGGAAGAGATCAACCCCATAATTAAACATATTAAAAGAAATCCCAATGAAAGATTACTTTCTAAAGCAGTTTGAATAATACAATCAAATAAAACACAAAAGATACAGGTTATGTTTTTTAAACTATTTTTTTCAGGTTAAAAAAAAAGATTACTTTAAAAGAACTCATTTAAAACTATCTTTTCATTCCATGTCATTATATATATGCCTTAATATAATGGGTTTGGGGCTGGAGAATAATGCTAACTTCCCTTTAAAAAGGAAACTTAACTTTCAGCTTTCAAGTCAGTCTATAGTTACCAATAATGAATGGGATTAGAGTGAAAATTCTAGCTTTCTCTTCTTAAGCAGTAAACTCTATTGATGTATAATTAAAGATATCTCCTTGTTAATATTTCAGATTCCTACAGAGACATAGCATGAAAGCTGAACAAAAGAATTTCAGAGAATCGAAATTGTGGGTTCTCTAATATCTTACCTTTGTTAAATCGAAAGAGATTTACAAAAGAACTATAGGCTGATTTAAAAGGAGGTTCGTCCTGATCAGGAGTCAAAGGCTTAAAGTGTGTGAGATGAGAAGGACTAGTAGGAGATCGAGGCAAATCATTAGCAGAGTCCAATGTTGGGGAAGTCTTATCATCTGTGGCCATTTCATGAGTCTTAAAAAAAGAAAAGAAATAAACCAAAGTTATAGTTCCTCAGGATCCCAAAAAGTAATTCCAAACAGAATCCAAAAATCTAGAAATATAACTGAAAATTCATATCTATGAAAACCAAAATGTAAATCTTTTTTATATATAATCCAGATTAAGGCTTAAAAATACTGTGGTACAGGTTATAAGAGTTTCAATTACCTGCATATGACTGTGTAGTAATTTTCTACATTCAAGTTACAGAAAAATATCAAAATTATTAAAAATTAAGAGGTAAGATATGTGAAGAAACAGCAAAAATAAGCATTTTCACATCATTTATAGCTTTCTCATTTTTACATTTTTTTAAAAAGTGATGGTTTTTTAAGTTATGGAGGAAAACTGACTTTAAACAAATTCTTCAAAATGTTTTTACTTATTTCAATTTTTATTTTTTAAAAGATACTTATACAGGGCCCTCCCTGGTGGCGCAGCGGGTTAAAGCACAGCACTAA